ATCAACAGTTAAACCAGATTCCTTATATCTATGCTCTAGCTGCAGAGCTTTGGCCTTCAATGCTCAGAGGTCAAAGGTAAACCAGGGAGCAGAACAAGCAAAGGAAACAGTGAGTTTTTACAGAAGCCAGAGAATCAAGGACATTGACTAAACAATTATTAAAATATAACACCAAATCATCAGGAGTAGAATAGAAGTCTGGAATCTGAATATTATCCAAACTGGCAGTGAGAATGTGCATATCAATGCTCTTGATGTTGTGGAGTGAGATGAGATGGGTTGGCTTGGTTAAAGAGCAGCAGAGAGTGAGGTTAAATGAAAGGAGGAAGTGGTCAGTTATGGGGAGCAGAAAGATTAGAGGGAGTAAGACCAGAACAGCAGATCAAGTCCAAGGTGTGTCCTTTGGAGTGGTGTTTTTATTAAAGATTTTACGGACTTTTTATCTTCCAATATTAAACTGGAGAAAGTCTTAATGATTGGGGATTTCAACCTCCACGTGGATGATCTTAGCTGTAGCATGGCCTCTGACTTTCTATCCATTACAGACTCTTTTAGTTTTATTCAGCATGTCTCTGGACCCACCCATGTTAAAGGCCACACCTTGGACCTTGTGTTTTCTCTTGGCTTAGACATAACTGATGTCTGTGTTAAAGACGTACAAGTGAGTGACCATTCCTGTGTTACTTTTAGTCTTAGCTTCCCACTGTACTCACCACCTTCTAATCTCATGTTCTATAAGCGGTTCATAAATCAGGACGTTGCTTTGAAGTTTTCTAATATGTTGGACCCTCATGTTGATAACCAAGCTTGCTAGCATTAGCTGATGACTTTGTACTCCACCTTCCAAATATGGTCACTTCTGGCTCTAAAAAGCAACATGACGCCCAAAAAACCAATGTTAAGGTTCAAATATAGGAGTATCGAAGGTAACAGGTAATGCCACTGTTGCTATCTATCCTTGTTTTCAACCACTAGCCCTAACAGCATGGTATAAAGTGCAGTCCTTTATACCTTACCTTATCACTGGTCTCCATGTTGTGATTGACTTCAGGGGAAACCTCATCGGTATTAGCCGTGCCTGAGTCTGAGGGACTCTGGGGAATCACAGGTCTCTTTTTGAAATACTGAACCACAAAAACAACCTAGGAAGAAAAGTTGGATACATCTGATCATTCAAAATTATTCCTTTCACACGGATCAACCATTCGGATGGCAAGTACTTCACTGTTACTGCAGGGAAATGGAGCTCTACTATTTTTGTTTACATTGTTTCTGTGACCCAGATCTTTGTCCCCACTAAGACTGTTGTTCACCAAGTGGAAAAAATTAATTCATGTTCATCCATGCAAGCACAGCTTGTGTGTGTGAGAGTGTCCTGCAGCAGTTTAGTCCATTAGATCAGTTTTCTATTAAGGAAAGAGTCTAAATATGTTTGACCAAGTTATACAATGATGTGCAGAAGTAAGGTGCTGAACTTACTCTCGGAAAGAGGAATTATTTTGAAAGGCTGCTTGAACATGTGCTTTAAATTGTACAGTTTTTTCTGACTTTGAATACATGACTAAAATTTCAGTCAAACCTGCCCTCCATCCAGCACCTGTACCTCTGAAGAACCAGGAAACGGGCAGGGA